GTCTCCAACAACTAATTTTGGAGGGCTGGCATTCCAGCGAGTTAAGCCAACATCTGCAGTGCCCTAATCCCACAGGGGCACTCGGGGCATTCCTGGTTGCGCCACATCCCGTCCAGCTTCCTGCTAAGCAATAGAAGACGGGGCCCAGTACTCATAATGGAGACTCCAAAAAATCTCCCGACTCCCAGCTTCTGACTGGACAAGCTCTGGCTGCTGCAGCCATTTGGAAAGTAAATCAGCAGATAAGATCTCTGCTTCTCACTCTCCCTCGGTGTGTGTGTGTGTGTAATTCCACCTTTCAAATAAATAACTAAATAAATATTTTTATCTGTTTATTTTTCTAATATTTCCAACAATCAGTTTATTAAAACACTAACTGAATGAATGCCCATTACTTCACAGTGATTTGTGATCTAATTTTTTTTTTTAAAGATTTATTTTTATTAGAAAGGTGGATATACAGAGAGGAGAGACAGAGAGGAAGATCTTCCGTCCGATGATTCACTCCCCAGGCGGCCGCAACGGCTGGAGCTGAGCCCATCCGAAGCCAGGAGCCTCTTCCGGGTCTCCCACGCGGGTGCAGGGTCCCAAGGCTTTGGGCTGTCCTCGACTGCTTTCCCAGGCCACAGGCAGGGAGCTGGAAGGGAAGCGGGGCTGCCGGGATTAGAACCAGTGCCCATATGGGATCCCGGGCGTGCAAGGCGAGGACCTTTAACCACTTGCGCCACCGCGCCGGGCCCTGTGATCTAATTTTGACAAAATGTTTCTCAAACCTTTGGATGCTTGCTTTTAGAAAGCTTTTAGAAGTTGTATTTAGGGCCCAGTGTGGTAGCCTAACAGCTAAAGTCCTTGCCTTGCATGCGTTGGGATCCTATATAGGCACCAGTTTTAATCCTGGTGGCCCCACTTCCCATCCAGCTCCATGCCTGTGACCTGGGAAAGCAGTTGAGGACAGCCCAAAGCCTAGGGCCCTGTACCTGCGGGGGAGACCCGGAAGATGCTCCAGGCCCCTGGTTTCGAATTGACTCAGCTCCAGCCATTGTGGCCATTTGGATGGAATCATTGGATGGAAGATCTTACTCTCTGCCTCTCCTCCTCTCTCAGTAGCTGACTTTCCAATAAAAATAAAATAAATTGTTAAAAAAAAGAAATTGTATTTAATGGATTTACTATTTATGTTCTCTACATGTAAAATTTATAGAACTGTAATATTTCTGGTATGACATTATGAATCATGATCGTTATTTTAAAATACTGTACACAATTTAAAAAAATGTCAATTGCCTTGTCATTTGCCAAACTGTAATTCTAATTTTAACCATGAGGGGCGCCTACCAGTTAATACACCCATGTTGGAGTGCCGGGGTTAGAGTCTGTGCCCTGCCTCCTGCTTCTTGCAAACCCTGGGAGGTGTGCCGGAGCTCAAGCAACTGGGGTTCCTGCCACCCTTTGGGGGACCCTGATCAAGTCCTGGCACAGGCTTTAGTCCTGGTGTTTGGGGGGTGAGTCAGTGAGGGGCAGCTCCCTCTTTTGCATCTCCGTCTTTCCCCCCCCTCTGTTTTCTCTGTCTTTTTACCTCCCAAATAACTTTTAAACAATATATTCCACTGTTATTCTTGTGCTTTTTGGCATCCAAAATTTTGATTCTTCTCCAAAAGCATTTACAATCAAATTTGTGAAATGGAGCTCAAAGGGTACTCTTAAATACAGTCTTCTGACAGAACTAAATTCATCTTACAAATTGGTTTTTCTTTAGTTATATTTGGTACAATGGCATAACTCTACAAAAAAGAAAAAGTTGTCTTTCTTGGCTCAAAAATACATTATGCAAACTGGATTCATCATGTTCTTGTTGGGTTTGTTTCGAATTTCCCTTTTTAAACTTTGTACTTTCTGGGTGTCAGAATTCTGCGAAAGTACAACTTCCAACAAAATAATGCTGGCCCAGTACTTTGAGATGATTCACTGTATAGGGAACAGACAAAGCTCAACTCAACAGTGGACTCCACTTCAGGGAAGCCTGAAGACTCCTCCTTTCAAACCCACCTGTTGTTCCGACGTGACAACAACACCTGGCTGCGAACCTCCTTCCTCCCCCTGTGGGCCAAGAGCCGTCCAGCAGCTGGGACGAGCCGAAATCCAGCAGTGAGGGACAGCTAAACCCCCAGGACCGACCAGCGCTGTTTTCAGAGAAAAGATATTGCTCAGAAAGGAGGAACGTGCCAGAATCACAACAGTACTTGTACCAAACCATGCCCTCTCCCCCTAAAACACCAGGAGGTTATGAAGAGAAGGATGTTACCATGCCTGATGGCAACCATCACAAAAGACTTCACCAGAGCCATAATATTACAGAGCGGTCACCACAACCTTCTACAGAGTATACCTACATGGACCAACTAAGGTCAGCTCAACCTTGGATTAGTGTCACCTTACTTATTAACCATGGTGGCCAAAGATTAGTATCACCAAACAACTGACATATTTTACTTTTACAACCTCCTTGTCTCAGCCTCACTGCCCTGCCTATAGTATGCATATTCCCACTCTGATGCTGTACCATGATTCATTAGAAAGTCACTCTCATGGATTCTTGATAATCCTTTGTCTTGGGTTGACCCCACCAAAAGGCAAAGAAGAATTGAAATTAACGAAATCAGCCATTTGTTCTTGATTTCACCATATTCACAGAGGATCTGGTAGTAGATGCCATAGAGAACCAAGCATGGACCAACCAGAGGTTAATCCTGACCCCAGCTCATAGCTGCTGTGTAGCCCAGGGCATTATAGACCAAACTGTGTTGGAGCATTCATCTCAGAATGTGACTATTTTTGGAGATAGGACCTTTAACAAAGTATCAGAGATAAAATGAAGTCATACGGATGGACCCCCAAACCAGTGTCCTCACAAAAGGAGGTGGCCAGGACACATACAAAGAGTGAAGACCACATGGACATACAGGGACAAGATGGCCACTTGCTAGCCAAGCAGAGAGGCCACCAAGAAATCAACGCTGCCAGCACCTCCAACCCTGTGTGGAAATAAATTTTTCGTTGACTAAACGGCTCAGGCTACGGTATTTCATTATGGCAGCCCTAGCTAACAAACACATGAGGTCAGTGGTTTCACTTCCCTGGGTCACCACAAAGAGGGCTTAGTACTTAATTTATTGGGTTGTTTTGAGGATTAAATGAAATTGTGAAAGCATCTGGCACATCAAGATGCTCAATAAATATTTCTTCCCCCTCTGAATCAGTGCCTATTTTTAAGGATTGGAGAAGGATTTATGTGCAATTACTGAAACTGTGCTTAAACTTCTGATTAGCTGTTCCATATATAGCAGGCTCTCAAGTCTCCCCAGGGCCTGGAAAGAGTCCAGGAGCTCGGCATAGCCTGCCTCCGTGAGAACCAGGCAGGTGAGTGAGGAATCCTCAATGAACAGGTACACAGCCCTGGAAAAGCAGGTAAGCCTCAAAGAGCTGGGCGGCAGGCAGACTGTTTTAACTGAGCCAGAAGCGGGAGTAGCAAAGAAGAGGAAGCCAGAACAAGTGCTGCCCAGGATGCCAAGGAAGGGTTAGGACAGCAGCTGAGGACCTTGTATCCAAGATGGGTAGGAGATAGTGAGGTGGCTAAGGTCATAGCTCTGAGGGGCTCTATTTCACAGAGGCAGGACAGAAGGGCACGTCTGATAATGCTCATGAGGTGGAGTTGGACCTGGAGGGGAGTCCTCTCCCCGAACCCAGACACTGGTGGAAGGGGCTGGGGTTAGGGCTGGGCAACAGCACCCTCACGGGGAAGACACAAAGGCAGGTTTGCAGGAAGGATGAGCAGAATTTCAAATATGCCCCTTGCATTCAGACACTCAGGGCATGCTGTAAATATTCTTGATTCACTGCTGAATGCATGTGAACACTGACGGTTTCTAAACATCTCACCATCGCAGTCGATTCCATGTCTTCTGCACCTGTGTCAGTTGGTCACTAAAAAGTGTCCAGGGTAGGAGGTCTAGATACACTTTAATGTAACGGTCCGCGGATGGATAAATAGATAAAGAAAATGTTGTAGGGCTGGTGCTGTGGTATCACCGGTAAAGCCACCATCTGCAGCATCAGCATCCTTCCTGGACATCAGTTTAAAGCCTGGCTACTCCATTGCTAATCCAGCATCCTGTTAATATGCCTGGGAAGGCAGCAGAGGATGGCCCAAGTCCTTGGGCCCTGCACCCACATGGGAGGTCTGGAGGAAGCTCAGACAGGCTCAGTTCTACCTGTTATTACAGCCATTTGGGGAGTAGACCAGCCGATGAAGAACTCCCTCTGCCCTTTCCTCTGTAACTCTGCCTTTAAATTAAACTTTTTTTTTTTTAAAAAAAGTAAGATGTCTATATACAATGGAATGTTATCTGACCTTGAAAACAGAGACTCTTTGCTCCAAATGAAATAAGTCTAACACAAAAAGTACACACTGCCTGAGTCCACTCTTCAGAGGAGCACAAAGTAGTCAGACCTCAGCAAGCAGAAGGCAGAATGGTGGCAAGCAGGGGTTGGGGAGGGAGGAGGAGAAGAAAGTGAGTTATTTTCAGGGGCGAGTAAAGTTTCCACTCCATGATATGAAAAGGCCCTAGAGATCATGAAATACAGCCATCAACACCCCTGTACTGCACACTTTAATAGGGCTAAGATGGCAAGTTTTACGTTCTGTGGTTGTCTGTTTTCTTTTTTTGCTACAAATATTAATACATGAATTTTAGGGGCAAACCTTTCACCTAGCAGTCACAATATCTGTGCCGCACATCAGAGTACGTAGGTTTGATTCCTGCTTCCGGCTCCTGATTGATGGCTCAAGTCATGGAGTTTCTGCCACCTACCTGGGAAACAGATACTCCCAGCTCCTGGCTTTGGGTCTGGCCCAACCACAGTTACTGTAGGCATTTGAGGAGTGATGGAATGTCCTCTTTCTCTCTCTCAAATAAATTTAAAAATAAAATTTTGCAGGAAAAAAACTTCTCCTTTTGCAGACTTTTTACTTAATATAGAGCAACTATAATATATCAAGCCAACTCCACCTAGATTTAATATGTAGGTTCTACAGATACTTCGACTGTAGAAATTCTCTGTTGTGCAGTCCCCCAAGCTGCAGTTCTGACACCAGCAGGAGGAGGCGCTATACACACCAGTGCAGAAGACGTCTTTGCCTACCTTCTCGTGTTAGCACAGTTCCAGGCTCGCCCTGCTGCCACCCGTCATCAGGCACCATGGAGCACTTGTTACCTCTCTGCTTTCAGGATCAGGCATCCGTGGGTTTGAGATTTTCCCTATAAAGCACACAACCGGTAGTAGAATTACAGCACTAATTCAAGAAAGAAAACTTACTATGTATTTACTAAAACATGACTGATTGGGGCGCCTACACTGTCCTAACCTGAATTTAGAAAATTCTAGTCTTCTTGCTCACTGTAAGCCCCAAAGGAAAACATTTTGGCTTTCGTGATTATGTTTCTGAGAAGGTCGAATGTTCTAGTTTGCGTAATTTGACATGCATTGCTCATTTGTCTCCTAATCTTGAATGAGATGCAGGGGTAGCCATATACCCAAAACGTGAACTCTTCAAGTCCCAAGATCAAAGACACAACCTAGCTTAGTTTTCTACTCAATTCTGAAATCTGTAGCCACCAGGCTGCTTGCTCAGGTCTTATAAGCTGGCATGAGAGTGAGACTCAACTCAGCTCGCCATGAGCTGTGTTCTGGGTGTGAGCGTTTGACATATAAAACCCAGAGCCATGCTGCCCTAGTATGGGCTCCAGGCATGGCAGCCAAGCTGGATCCCAGCCTTGCCAAGCTCCCCTGGGACGCCCCGTCTCCTCCAGCTCATTCCTCCCTCGCGAGATCCTTCCACTCCTGCTGCACCCTCTTCTCCAAACACCTACACTCCAATTCCATGAGAATGTACTCCCTTTTCCCTATTTCTTCATAGACTGTCCCCCATCAAAGTCTTGGCTAATGTTTATTTCTTCTAGCATATTTCTTTTAACTAGTGAATGTTTCGAAAGGAATACAGAGCTTATGTAGAACTTGTTGTAATTTATTACTGTTATTTTCAAAATTGGATTTGCTAATGGAAAAGTGGTTTCCAACTAGACATTTAAATCAAAGGCAAAATGTGTTGCCATTAGTAAAAATGAAATGTTACCAGCGTACAAAATATGAAATGATCACATTATCAGCCAAAATAAAATGTAAATGAATTATTCCTCTGCTTATTGGTCAGTGACTAAGAGAGGAGGAAAAAAATTTTTTTTCTATTTTCTGAAAAAAGAAAACAGCAGAAATGAACCAAAATATCAAGGGTAATGTGATTCAGGTTTCAGAACTTTTGCTCTTGGTCAAGATGGAGTAACAGGATGCAGATTTATCTTTTAAAAACAAATATTTGTTTGTTTATTTATTTGCAAGACAAAAGGGCAGAGAGAGGAAGAGACAGTGAGAAATCTATTGGCTGGTTCATTTCCCAAATGCCTGCAATAGTTAGAGCTGGACCAGGCCAAAGCCAGGAGCCGGAAGCACCCTCTGACTCCTTGGACCAGACTTGGGCCATCATCTACTGCCTTCCCAGGCACAATCACAAGAAACTGGGTCAGAAGTGGAGCAGCCAGAACTGAAACTGACCCTCCAGATGTGATGATGGTGTCAGGAGTAAAGCTCACCCCACTGTGTCACAAAGCCAGTACCCAGACTGACCTGTATGCCTGAAACAAACCCTTCCCTTTCCCCCAAAACAGACAAAAATGCATGACTCAATGGTCAGGCAAGGAAGGACAAGGAGAGATCCCTGAGTCTTGGAACCAACAAGTGAGCCCTACCACTGTCCCAGACCCCTCCTTAAGTGGATACTGCAGGAAGGAGAGCCTCTCAAATGGAGCAGCTGGAACTGGGAGAGCCACAGCAGAAAGTTTGCAAGACAGAAAATCAAGGTGGCTCGAGCTGCAGGGAGAACTTCAGAGACCAGCAGGTGAAGCCCGTCCAGCAGTCCACAGCGGACTGCCCAGCACCTGTGTGCAAGGAAACCTCAATTGCCCCAGAGGGAAGCATCTGAGAAGATGAAGGACAGGTACTGTGGCAGGCACTTGCATCACCCTTAAACCTGACGTAAGTAGAAGGGATGATCGGTCATTGAGCCTTCCATGTGTTACATGCTTTTCTGTTTTTCTTTTCATGATACATGCTCTCAAGTTGTTCTCTCAATTTTTTGTATTAAGTCTGCATCTGGACTTGGGACAAGTTGGACAAGTCGGGAGCTCCTTCCCCAGCTGCCCTGACCAGGCTGCATGACTTGTCCAGAGCAGATCCCAATGATCCCAAGAGAACACGCACAGATGTGCACACGAGGCTTTCCCTCTGTGCCACTGAGAACTACGAGATTGTGGAGCTGCCACGATCTTCCGTGGAAAATCAGTCCTCCAACACACTAGCACTTGGTTTTGTCCTCTCATCTTCTTTGCAAGTCTCAACCATGTTTCAGGGGAGGGCGTTAGGTGCAGTGGTTTCAGGGTGCTATATGGGATGCCTGCATCTTACATGGAAGTCCCTGGGTTCTCTCTACTCTGTTTGTGACCCAGCTTCTCGCTAATGGAACTATGAGATGCAGCAGGTGGTGGCTCAAGTACTTGGGTTCCTGTCAGCCACATGGGAGACTGGATAGAGTTCCTGGCTCCTGGCTTCAGTGTGGTTCAGCCCTGGCTGATGCAGGAATTTGGGAGTGAACCAATGAATGGGAGGGCTATCTGCTTCTGCAACAAATAAAAGTTTGTGGAAAAAAGTTTCATTCATTCTTTGCATGAGAGTAGTAAGAACAATGGAAATACCAGAAAAATTGGGAATTCTGGCTACTGTAGTTACATCTTCAAAACACTGAGACAGGAGGCTAGTACTGTCATACTGTCCATGGCTTAAGCCTACGACCCCAGAACCTCATATCACAGCACTGGTTGGGGTCCCAGCTGTCTCACTCCCCATACAGCTCCCTGCTACTGTGCCTGCGAAGGCAGCGGAAGATGGCTGAGAGCTTGAGCTCCTACCACACACACAGGGGACGAGAAAGGAGCTCCTAGCATTGGCTTGGCCCCACTCTGACCATTGCAAACACATGGGCAGTGAACCAGCAGACATAAAGGTTCTCTCTCTCTCTCACTGCTTTCAAATAAATAAAATAATCTCTTTTTTTAAAGTTGAACCTAAAATTGCTCCATGAATAAAGGATAGTCATTTCAATAAATGGTGTTTTGAAAGTTGGGTCTCGGCTTATCAAAGTATAAAACAATACCCCCACTTTACACCCTGCACAATAATCTCACAATAGTTCACAAGTCTAAACCTAATGCCTGAAACATCAAATCACCAGAGGAAAATTAAGTAGCAACACTGCATGACATTGGCCTAAGGAAAGACTTATTGGGCAAGACCTTAGAAGCACAGGCACTTAGAGCAAAACGAAACAAAACCTCAATACAGCAAAGGAAACACTCAACAAAGTGAGGAGGCAACTGACAGAATAGGAGGAAATATTTGCAAATCATACATCTCATAATGAACTAATTTTCAGGGTGTCTGCCTATGTTTGGCCAATTAGCTCAGTTGGTTAGAGCATCATGCTAATAATCAGGATATCAGGAAGTTCAACAATAAAACAAACAACCCAGTTAAGAAATGGGCAAAGGATATTAACAGGCATTTTTTTGCAAGGATGAACTATAAATAACCAACAGACACACAAGAAAATGCTCAGAATCACTGAGCCATCATGGAAATGCAAATAAAAATCGTATCAGGGAAACACAAATGAAAACCACATTAGAATAGCTATCATCTGAAAACCAAAATATAACAACTGCTAGCAGGAATGGCAGGGAAAAGGTACTCTAATACACAGTTGGTGGAAATGTAAACTAGTATAACCACTACAAATGATAGGTTAGAGATTCCTCAGATATCTGAACATAAATGTACTATATGACCCAGCCAGCCCACTCTGGACATTCACCCAAAAGAAATGAAATCAGAATACGAGTTATCTGTACTCCCTTGTTTATTACAATTATTATCAGTTCACAATGGCTAAGACACAGAATCAACTCAGATGTCTGTCACCTGGATAAAGAATTGCAGTATACACACATGATGGAATACTTCTCAGTTCTTTAAAAAACGGATTAAATGCTGTCTTCTGCAACAAAATGAATGTAACTGAGACCATTACACTTAGTAAAACTAACCAGTCCCACAAAAATAAATAGCATGATCTCTCATACAGAGAATATTAAAAAATGTAACATTATGGAACTAAACTGACAATTTGAGACTCGATTGTTGTCTATACCCACATGCACAGTAGTCTGTCTCCTTTTACTAACAAGTAACAAGATTTCTATTAGTGCAGCACTGAATTTGTGATTATAAAATAAATTGAAAGTAGGCTATCACATACCAAAAAAAAAAAATAATAATAACTGAAGGGAAAACATGAAAAGAAGAGCAGAGGATGTCTGAGAGCCAGAGAAGCGGTGTTAGGAAGGAGCAGTGTGCCTGCGGAAGTCCCCAAGGCAGCCTCCGCGGAGCTGCAAGAGATTTGAGAGCTGGAGTTGATCGCAATGACGAGTGCTGGGAAATGAAAGAAAAAGTGACTAGTCCTGAGAAAGCTGGAGAAGCAAAATTAAAAGCAAGGTACGCTCATCCGGGACCAAAGCCTGGAGGTTCTGATTGCTTAAGGAAACAATTGCAGAAAGGACAAAAATATTTTGATTCTGGGGATTGCAACATGGCAAAAGCAAAAATGAAGAACAAGCAACTTTGTGCTGCAGCCCCGGATAAAACAGATAAAACGGAGATTACTGGCGGTCATACTCCCATTCCACAGGAACTTTGTCAACAGAAAACCTCGCTTGTTGCTAGCAAGCTGGCTGGCTGATTAAAAAAGCTGAGCTGCATGAATCTCCTGATTCCCGTTTTTCTCTCCTTACTGTATCACCTATCCACATCTTACTTCCTTTTATTCTCTAAGTCATCTGAACTGACAGCTTTGCAGGTAGTGGTAGCTTTTGCTGCTACTGTAAGGAAAAACATATGTGTAGATTTTTTTTTATTAAAACAGTGCACTGATGACATATTAGAGCAACATAATCTACTTGAAAACAATTGTATATATTACCTAACTCCCAGTGTAGCACCCAACAAGTAACAAATTTTATAGTTGTAATGGTTTGGCTTTACTCGCTTCATTTCAAGTACAGCTTTGTACATTACTCTTATTTCACATAACCTCTACTGTATTGATTTCTTCTGCATTTTCCTTTAGGATTTTGTAAAACAGGAGTTTAAGATCTCAAGTGGTAAGAAGTCAGATAATTCAGACACAATTAATTGAAAGATGTGTATTTCTGTGCTTGAACTTGAATGGCCTTAAACCTGTTCCAGCTTTAACAGTAGAACTTGACGTGGGCAATCCTTGCTCCTTCTGGGGTTTCCTGTGTGACTCAGTGTTGAAAAGCTCCATTGGAGCTAGTGTTCCAACTCAGTCCTGTAATGTTAGAACTCCTTTTGCTGTTGAAGATGTGGATGACATATGCATATGTATGAACGGTTGAATTCACTTTTGTGCCATTTTTGTAAATACAATAGCTTTGTACAGTGTTTCAAAAATGAAGAAGAAAAGTGAGGTGAGAGAGGAAAGTATTGTATTTTTGGACTTACTGGAATTCTATGGAATTCTTGAAATTTATGAAACCTGCTATCTACATATTAATAAATTAATCATAATTTAATACTAATTTAACAAAAAAACCTAACCAACAAAAAGATTTTGCAAAAGTTCTGGCCTTTGTGTATAATAAATTAAATCTATTTTCTGGCCTATTGTATTTTTCTTTAAAGATTATTTTACTTATTAGAAAAGTAGATCAGACTTATGGAGAGAAGGAGAGACAGAGAGAAAGATCCTGGATTTGCTCATTTACTCTTCAATGGTCAGAGCTGAGCTGATCCAAAGCCAGGATCCAGGAGCCTCTTTCAGGTCTCACATGAGTACAGGGTCTCAACATTTTGGCCCATTCTCCAGTGCTTTCCCAGGACATGAGTAGAAAGCTGGATGGAAAGTGAGGCAATCCAGACATGCACCAGTGCCCATATGGAATCCGGGCACTTGCAAAGTGAGGATTTAATCACTCAGCCATCACATTGGGCCTTCTCAGCTACTTTAAAGAAACAATGTTTGATACATTCTAGTCTTAAGTGAACATAAGAATTTCTCCTAGGGCCTGGTGTGGTGGCCTTTCAGCTGAAGTCCTCGCTTCTAATGCTCTAGGATCACATATGGACGCCGGTTCTAATTCCAGCAGCCTCACTTCCCAGCCAGCTCCCTGCTTGTGGCCTGGGAAAGCAGTTGAGGATGGCCCAAAGCTTTAGGACCCTGTATCCGAGTGGGAGACCTGGAGGAAGTTCCTGGCTCCTGGCTTTGGATCGGATCAGCTCAGCTCTGGCAGTTGCTGTCACTTGGGGAGTGAATCATTGGAAGGAAGATCTTTCTCTCTGCCTCTCCTCCTCCCTGTATATCTGACCTTCCAATAAAAATAAAATAAGTCTTTTAAAAAAAAGAATTTCTCCTGAAAACTTCTAAGTAATTATATACAGTAATTAAATGATCAAGAAAAACAGCTGATATCAAATTAGTTTCTTTTAAAAATTTATTTATTTGAAAGTCAGAATTAGAGACAGTGAGAAAGAGAGTCTTCCATCCCCTGATCACTCCCTAAATGGTTGAAATGGCCAGTCCTGGACACAGCTGGAGCAAGGAGCTTCTTCCTAGGCCCCCTGTGGGTGCAGGGACCCAAGCACCTGAGCTTTCTTCCACTGCTTTCTCAGACACATTAGCTGGACAGGAAGTGGAGCAGCTGCGACTTGAACTGGTATCCACATGTGATGCCAGTATCACAGACAAGGGCTTTACTAGAGCTGCCCAAAGCCACACATCCAAAATTAATTTCTTATTTTGCAAAACCACCAAGAGTTTGTCCATGGTTCAAACATTCTTCACAGAATTTCCCATTCGACAGCCATCATACCACATCTTGTAATTGCACTTGTTGGTGGTCAGCTTTAATCGGGTCACGTTAACAGATAATTCTTGCTCTGTCACTGAGCTGTGACGGTCCAGCTGATTACGTCTTATTTTTATAGGAGGAGAAGAGTTCTCAAAGAAGAAGGAACATGTTGTTGTACATTCTGGCCCTGTGCCTTTCCCTGCCTTGACTATTACAGAACACTCACCTATCATTACACATGTGTATCACAGCATGCTTCTACTCCGAACACTATCTCCAAGCTGCATAGACATGTAATCCATTACCATTTCACACAGTTCTGATTAGTCAGGTTTGAGGTACTGAAACAGAAAAACTAGAATTCTACTTGAAATTGACCAGCATGTTCAAATATCACATACACTTACAAATTATTTTATTAATATTATCTGTGCATTAGACTCATTGTAAAATAATTGACCAGCCTTCTTTGAACAATAAATTGACTTTTCACGCAGTTAATTTGTAAATACATGTATCTACTGTGTCATTAAAAAGTAGTTTTCAGGCCCGGCACAATGGCAGAGTGGTTAAGGTCCTCACCTTGCACGCCCGGGATCCCATATGGGCGCTGGTTCTAATCCTGGCAGCCCCGTTTCCCATCCAGCTCCCTACCTGTGGCCTGGGAAAGCAATCGAGGACGGCCCAAAGCTTTGGGACCCTGCACCCGCGTGGGAGACCTGGAAGAGGCTCCTGGCTTCGGACCGGCATAGTATTGGCCGCTGCGCTCACTTGGGGAGTGAATCATTGGACGGAAGATCTTCCTCTCTGTCTCTCCTCTGTATATCCGCCTTTCCAATAAAAATAAAATAAATCTTTTTTTTTTTTAAAAAAAAAAAGTAGTTTTCTTCTTTGCTCAAAAGTTTTGCCAAAACTTCCAAACACTGGAACTTTCAAGTTACTGATATTTTTGCTAATTTTTCCACAGTTTTGTTTTCTTTTTTTGTTTGAGTCATGCAAAGTGCTACCTTTTAAAAGTGCTCTAAAATGTGATTTACTGTTTGTTTAAGGAAATAACAAGCACCTACTTCTGTCAGCTTTTTAACTTGATTCTCTTAATTTGAGTAGGTTCTTAGGTCATGGTTTTATTTCTCTTCTTCTGGGATTTTATTTTTTATATGAAAGGCAGAATTGAGAGAGAAATGGAGAGACAAACAGATCTTCCATCTGTTGGTTCACTCCTCAAATGGCTGCAACAGTCAGGGTCAGGCCAGGCTGAAGCCAGGAATCAGAGGTTTCCTCTAGATCTTCTCCCTAGGAGCAGGGATGAAAGGACTTGGCCTCCTCTGTTGCATCTTTCCCAGGTGCATAGCAGGAAGATGAACTGGAAATAGAGTAGCCGGGACTTGAACCGGTGCCCCTATGGAATGCTGGCATCACAGGCAACAGTTTAACCCACTACATCACAGCGTCAGGTCAGGAAATGAATTTTGATGGCCGAATTGCTGCATTAGCCAATGCATCTCTGCAAATAATACCTTGAAATTTTGTACTTCTCTGATAATTAGAGCTGCACAACTAAACTCAATAAATGGGGATCATGATTCTGAGTCAATGTGGCACAAACTCTTGGTCATCGTTTTAAACTAATTATATCATCATTATGATAGGTTTTATCATTAGTGCAGCATTCACAAAAGCTGTGACTTCCTTAAAAGATCCAGTGAAGCTTAACATAAACATATATGTACCCAACATCAGAACACACAAATATGAATAAGCCTAAAGGGAGACAGACTCCAACATAGCAATTGTAGGGAGCTTTAATGTCCATTTTATAAGTTGGACAGATCATCCTAACAGAAAATCAACAAAGGAAAAGCAGGGTCAATTGCACCTTAGATCAATTGATTGTACCAACATCTACAAGATTTTCCCACCCAGCCTCAGCAGAACAAACATTCAACTGTGCATGAAATAGTTCCAGGAGAAATCACCTGGTAGATCACAAAGCAAATTTCAACAGACTTAAAAGAATAGAAATTATATCGAGTGTATACCAAAACCTGTGAGATACAACAAAAGCAGTGCTAAGAGGGAAGTTTAAAGCAAACACTGCCTGCATAATAAAAAGAAAAATATCAAACAAACAGCTTGTTACTGCACCTCTCAGACCTGGAAGCACCAGAAGAAATCAAACCCCAAAGTAGGTCGAAAGAAACAGTAAAATTCAGAGCAGAAATGAATAACATGGAGACTTGACAATACAAAAACAAATCAAAACAAAGTGCTAGATCTCTAAAAAGATAAACAAAGCTGGGCCCTGTGCCGTGGCCTAGTGGCTAAAGTCCTCACCTCGCATGTGCCGGGATCCCATATAGGCACCAATTCTAATCCCAACAGCCCCAATTCCCGTCCAGCTCCCTGATTGTGGCCTGGGAAAGCAGTCAAGGATAATCCAAACCCTTGGGACCCTACACCTGCACGGGAGACCTGGAGGAAGCTCCTGGCTCCTGGCTTCAGATCAGGCAGCACCAGCCATTGTGGTCACCTGGGGAGTGAATCATCGGATGGATGCAATCCTGGCATATGCAAGGCGAGGACTTTAGCCACAGGGCTACCATGCTGGGGCCGCTAGCATTGACTTGATACCAAAACCAATGACATAGTTAAAGAGAAAAAAAGCTACAGGGAAATTTCTCTGATGAGCATAGGTACAAAATCATCAAGAAAATATTAGCAAACTGAACCAACAGTGCAATAAAGATGCCTCACCATGATTAAAAGGGATCCATCCCAGGAATGTACTGTACTTAATTCAACAAGTACAAGTTAATAAATGTGATACACTACCTCAACGGAATGAAGAGTAGAATCATATAATCTCCTCAAC